TTTCAGGGGTCTTAGGGTTTCTAGGGTTTCTAGGGTTTCAGGGGTTGTAGGGTTTTAGGGGTCTTAGGGTTTCTAGGGTTTCTAGGGTTTTCGGGTTTTAGGGGTTTCAGGGGTCTTAGGGTTTCTAGGGTTTTAGGGTTTTCGGGTTTTAGGGGTTTTAGGGGTCTTAGGGTTTCTAGGGTTTAAGGGTTTAGGGTTTAAGGGGTTTTAGGGTTTAAGCCGCCCTAGGGTTCCTAGGGTTTAGGGTTTAAGGGGTTTTAGGCGTTTAGGGTCTCAGTGGTTTTTGGGTTTAGGGGGCCGTGGACTTGGAGGGCGTAAAGGCTTGAGGGGCTTAGAAACTTGATGCGATTTCATAGAAATGCCTTGCACCCCGAACTCTAAAACCTAAACCCCTAAGCCCTGAAAAGGCCACTGGCACCACTAGCGAGAAGCCCTTCGCCGGGGGCCTCATCGGCAATGAGTCGGCGTTCGCGGGCCAGGCGGGGCCCTGACAGGGAGATCTCCGGGCTCAGGGTTTCTGGCTTTGGGGTTTAGGGTGCGGGGGTTTAGGGTTTAGGGTGTAGGGTTTAGAGTTTAGGGTGCAGGGGTTTAGGGTTTAGGGTGTCGGGTTTAGAGTTTAGGGTGCGGGGGTTTAGGGTTTAGGGTGTCGGGTTTAGAGTTTAGGGTGCAGGGGTTTAGGGTTTAGGGTGTCGGGTTTAGAGTTTAGGGTGCAGGGGTTTAGGGTTTCTGGCTTAGGGGTTTAGGGTTTAGGGTGCAGGGGTTTAGGGTTGGGGGTGTAAGGGTTCAGGGTCTAGGGGCTGAGGGATTGGGAGTTTGGGGTTGAGGTTTGAGTGGATTTGAGGCTTTCGGGAGTCTCGGGGGTTGGGTCCTCTATCCTCGGACTCCTCTGTCCCACTCCGTGAGGATTTCAACTTTGACCCGCTGGGCTTGTCGGTGAAGTGCGAGAAATACCTCCCTTGGTTCCGTGAGGCGACGGACTTGCGGTTGCTTTATAGTATGGTGTAATATCGTGCAGGATAGTATAGCAAAGTCTGGTATCGTAGAGTGTAGTACAGTATCCGATGGTGGATTCCGTAGGCTTCAGCGGGCAAGCCCGGAACTGTCCGGGTTCGCTGTGTTGCACTCAAGAGGTGGCGAATTTTAGATTGGAGTGGCCGTGGAGCATGCAGGAGCGAGCAATCCGAGGTTTTGGGGAAAGGTGTCGCTGGAGGGCCCTTCGGAGGATAGGGAGTTTCCGTGTCTGCGGGCGCGGAGTGGCTTCCCGTAGTGTGCAACGACAGAAAGGATGTTGAATTACAGCCAGAACCTACGTCCCAAAATCTTGAATCCTCATAGACTCCGTATGCCTTAAAGCTTGCGCGCTAAATATTGAATCAGCACAGATAGGTGCCACCACGAACCAGAAACTTTCGGCGGTCGAAGCCCCAATCTTAAGGCTGCTTTCGCCTCAGAAGTTCTTGGCACGGAGCCTTTCATACCCTACCCCGTTCCTTGCCCGGGCACTTTGACTCTTTCTATCCTCGTAAGCTCGAAGACGGAAAACTATGAGAGCTCGTAGACACGACACCTGAAGAGTTCAAAGACCTGGTACAAAGTCGGGTCTGGACTTGTGGTGGGGTGGTCGATTTTGATCAGGGAGATCCTAGTACCCACAGCCCTTAAACCCTAAACCTAAACCCTATACCGTAAACCCTAAACCCTGTACCTTAAACCCTAAATCCTAAACCCTAAACCCTATACCTTCCATCCGTGGCCCCTGAGACTACGCCCTAAGCTCGAGCCACCGGAGCCGAGCCCAGAAGCCGGAGGTTTAGGGTTTACTGTAGTGTTTAGGGTGTAGGGTTTAGGGTGCAGGGTTTAGGGTTTAGGGTTTAGGGTTTAGGGTTTAGGGTAAAAGCGACAGAGATACATCAGGACGCCCCAACACCCTTACAGAGCCCCTGAAGCACTGAAGCCTAAACCCTCTAAACTTTAAACAAAAACCCTGCCACAAAAGCCGGACAAGACCCGAGGCCGAGCTGCCGCTTCTTCGCAATGGGGTTTAGGGTGTTGGGTTTTGCGTTTTGGGTTTGGCGTTTAGGGTTTTGGGTTTAGGGTGTAGGGGGGAAGTTACTCTTGGGACGAGCGAGTTCACCCAGCGTTGCCCACCGTCGCAGCGTCCATTCAGATCTTCATGGGGTTCTAAATCTTCGACCAGTCGGCGTGAGTTTGGGGCTTGCCCGGCCTCCCGCTCAGAAGCCCCAAACCACCAAATTCTAGTCTCATGCCGCCACATAAAGCCTAAGATCCCAGGAAGCATGGCCGCATTGCGATGCTCGCCTTTGTTGGCCTCGTCGTTCCGGAGTTTGCTCGCATCCCAGGCCGAGTGACCGCCGTGGGTTCGCACGTGGGCGTCATCCGTGAACCCTAACTTTGAATCCAACACTATATAACCCTCTGCTGCTGCTGCTGGTGCGGTGGCGACGACGACTACTACAACCAGCACTGCCACTTCTGCTGCTCGAGCTACTCTGCTGCTGCTGCTGCCACTGCTGCCGCTTCTAACGCACCACTACCGGCTGTGACCGCCGTTTGAGCCTGCTGAACAACTAACATTACTGCCATCACATGTACTCGACGGTGTGTGCTGCAATTATTCCACCACAGCTACCCCTATTGTTTCGTTTGTCATTTGTGATCACGCTTTGTCATCGCTTTTAATCTCGTTACGGTTGATTCTTACTAGCATTGCTGGTTGTTGTAGTTGAGTCCGTAGAGGATCTGCAGGATTGACGGGCACATTCGCACATATAAATAAAATAGGCAAAGACTTGTTCATGCCATCATGGCCGTCCATGCCATAGTCGGTCGAATATGCTTAGGTCCAACGGCCTAACTCTTTAACTGTGGGAAGGGCCTTGCCATGACCTCCCCAACAATAAATTGACCCAAACCCTGCTAGGTCCAGATGCATGCTATGCTGCGAAAAGCATTGTGGATGCCCACAATGCCTGTGTGGGCAACCCACCCTTCCCGTTCCTTGTCAACGCAGAGGACCGGGTCTTGCATGCTCAACAACGAGGGATGTTAAGCAGTAGTAGTCATAGAACCAGGCTTTATATCGGGATTAGGATTGAGGGTGGGTTTTTAGGAGCTGGAGTTTACGGATTAGATTCTTGACAGTCGTGGCTTGAAGTTCCCTGATGAAGGCGGAGGATAACACTGCGACTTAGTTCGGTCCGGGCTTTGGGCTTTGGCGCCTTGTGGGTAACGCCTCTATACACTTTAAAGCTGAACACTACTCCCTTGAGCCTTTCTTCTTAAACTAGAAGCCCCAAACTCAATGCCATGCTTGAAACCCTAAGCCCGAAAACCCTTAATTACGCTCCAAGCGCTAAACCTTCAGGCCCTCGAGCACGAGCAAGTCAGCGGAAAAGCGTATGTCCGAAACCTGCAAACCCTTGTCGCAACCCTTGCAGGTGCCCTTCGAGTAACCCTTCTGGTCAACGGCATAGTAGCCTCGTACCTCTTAAGGTAACCCTTCTGGCGTCCGAAGCGGCTTAGAGCTCGCCGGCTCTAAGGGTCGTTCCTCGCAGGACTTCTTTGGCACCGACAGACAGCAGGGCCCTCTCTTCCAGGTGGGGGGCTTAGGGGCTTAGGGGTGCGGGGTTTAGGGGTCTAGGGTTACTTAGGGTTGGGCACGCGATGGTTCGGTACGATGTGCTAGGTTTCCTTCTTGTGATCTTTAAAGGTGAGTTGTTATGAGGAGTTCGGTGAGTTTGCACGATCCAGATTTAAAGTTACACGTGGAGGAAGGTTTATAGTTTCAAACCCCCGATGGCGCAAAGTGCCCCTTGACCCCCAGTGCTTGTAGTTACATGTATGATTGCGTTGCGGCATGGTCGGCCCTATCACCTCCTTCACAAGTACGGCCCATCACGAATCACGCACGTGCGGTGAGCATCATGTGCATCGTTTAGAGTGCTCGGGCGGGATCTGTGTGGGATATGTTGGCAAGCGGAGTCCAGCATCATGATCTTCATCCGCTCTCCATTCAGCGCTTGCGACTCCGAATTCTCACCCGCAGAGAGGCTCGAAATCGTCACAGACGATGCTCATGATGCTGGCCCACATTTGCCCAGAGCAGGATTCAGGGAAGCTTCAACAAAAACATATTCGAAGCCTGTTTAGAGAGGGTTTCCAAGAATTGCTTCCAGCATCCCGCTAGATTTTTGATCTGGCTTGGTCTCCGATGTCTCGCTTCAACGCAGCAGAAGTTTGGGCCATCTTGGCTGTGCCCGGTGGCGTTCCTGCCGCTAATGGTTCAAATGATATTGATAATGCCAGCCCAAATTGGTCGGCAATAGCATCAAAAGTGGTCCTGCAACCCCTCGTGATGATTTGGTTATCCTGGCCCCTGCCCTCATATCGCATGTTTGTGGCTTTGCCTGCACCAACAGCGGAGATGATGCTCATCATGCTCGGGGAAGTTGCTCGGGAAAAGCCGTCCAGCAATTCCAAGATGTTTAAGTTCTCTTGGCCTTTGCCCACGTCGCACTTGTTCGCAGTGTCCGCTTCATCAAAAAGGCCCAAATGATGCTAATGATGCTGGTCCAAGTTGCTCGGCAAAAACCATCCAGCAGCTATTTCGGTCCTTGCCCACGTCGGGCTTTATCGCGGCACTGCTTCGCAAAAAACCGGCTTAAATGCTGCTCATGGCCAAGTTGCTTGGCAAAGCCGTCCGGCAATGGCTAAATGTTCTGGCGATTTTACGGTGGCCTTTCCCAACATCGCACCTTATCTGCTTTTGCCACCAACTGCCCAAATGATGCTCATGATTCATGATGCTGGCCCAAGTTGCTCGGCAAAAGCCGTCCAGC